TGTATATATTTTGGTCTTTGATTTGATCTCCTTCATTTTACAGTTGTCTGCTCTTGAGCACAGTTCATCTGGTCAAAGCGAACTCTAACAGCTTGCTCAGAAGAGAAATCAAATTTTGATTAAAATGTCAAAACTTTCCAAAGCAGAAAACAAACAGGGTCATTCTTTAACTCAGTGGTTCCTAACTTCACTGGCTTGTGTCTCTTTGTAGCCAGTTATGACCTTAGTGTGAACAAGATTTCACTCGAGGAAGGGAGCAAAAAGTCATTTATTGTGAGAGAAATATATTTAATCTGGTGACCCTTCAGCTTTATCTTGGGGCCGCCTGGTTGTGCTGTTCCAACTGAATCTAACCTCTGCAACACAATGATCTTCGTCCTGAGCTGACTGACATGATCTTCCTGAATCTCCTGTGTTCACAGCGTCTGTGTTTTTCTGTCCTCAGGATATTCAGATCGAGGCGCTGCTGATGCAAGCGTGTGAACCCGTCATCCAGACCCACTGCCATGTAAGTCTGATCCACCAACAGCTCTTTATAAACCCAGTTTGAACTCAGTGGAAGAAGTTTCAGAAAGGAACTGTTGCTCTGATTTAAGAAGGCTGAGAGTGTAAAAACTGGCTTCTAAAGCAAAATAATTCAGAAAAATAAGAAAAGCACAAAGTCAGTCCTAACTGATCAATACTGACGATGCACCATGTACACCTTTGTGTTTTGTTTCTGCAGTGTACAAAAAGTAAACCTTCCTGAAGCAGCACACACACACACACACACACACACACACATACATTAATTTACGTATCAGGGCTGGGCCGGCGTAAACATTTTCAAACTGGTTTAATATTATTAAGGGCTGGATTAGACCAGTGTACTGAATTATTCAGTCTGAATTACTTGTATTAAAAGAAAACATCTAATCATAACTGTTAACAGCATGAGATTTAATATTCAGTAGGGCTGCTCAATCAGGGCAGAATGATAATCACAAGTATTATTGGTCAGTATTGAGATCAGGATTATTTAACATGATTACTCTTTGACCAAAGGCTTGTTCTCCCATCACCTTGACCTCAGGTGAACTAAACATACCACAGTCTGACAGAGAGCCAGTTCAGGCTGAAGGAAAAGGGTGCGCTGGATTTATAACACAAGACAAAATAAAAGCTTCATTGTGAAACAGAATGTAGCTCAATTATCGTTTTATCTCACTTGTCTTGTTTTTTTAATCACTGAACGACAAAATCATAATTGAAAATAAAATTTGACAACTTCCCCAGCCCCAGTATTTCAGTACCAAATTTTAACCCCCCCTCTCTGTCTGTCTGTCTCTGTGTCTGTCTATCTGTCTCTGTGTCTGTCTGTCTGTCTCTGTGTCTGTCTGTCTGTCAGGAGGTGGCTGATAACCAGATCAACACCGGTGACCTGATGGAGTGTTTGGTTCAGAACAAACACCAGAAGGAGATGAATGAGAAGTGTTCGGTGGGAGTGACACACTTCCAGCTGGTGAGCAGATGGATGACAAATGTGTTATCAAGATGTTTTTAGCTCAACGGAAACAAAATAAGAAGCTTTTTATATCAGCATGAGTTATGACACAAGTGGGCAGATATTTCACTACTTCTTTTCTTTTGACAAATGTTGAAATATGAATAATAAACAATACTCCAGTTTATTCTCTTCATGGTTTTAGCTCATTGAGTTATTGCAGTCTCGCTGTGCAGTAGCATCAAAATGTCAGCATGTAGTACAATAAGTCTGCAGCATTATCTGATGAATGTATTACTAACAAGCTGCTCTGTCTGTCTGTCTGTCTGTCTGTCTGTCTGTCTGTCTGCAGATTCAGATCAAAGATTTTCGTTTCTCGTACAAGTTCAAGACGGCCTGCAAGGAGGACGTCCTCAAACTGTGTCCCAATATCAAGAAGAAGTAAGACTCAAAAATACAAAACAGTGTCAGAGCTGATAGCACAGTCTGTGGAAGCTCATGTCAACCAGTGTGATGAAAAAGAAAACAAACTGTAAGTAGGAATGTTGTGAGAACTGATACTTTGGTACCAAGTCCATGCCAACATTCTGAAAACATGACGGTACTTGTTTTTCTTCAGCACTGTCGGCAAATCTGTTTTTCCTAGGATGAGGAAGACATGAAACACCACACACTGTCTTGCCCTGACATTCTTACTTGAACTCTAAACAATCCCAGCCATACCTAACCCTAACCAACGACTAGGCCTGTCACAATAACAGATTTTGCTGGGCGATTGCGTCAGAAATCATTGCGATAAGCGATAATATTGCGTAATATTGTGCTTTTAAGACCGTTTTTATTATTGTTGTAATTTTGCTGTTTTTAGACCATTTTTTTAAACTTATATAATGATAATAAAGGCATAATGATGCAGGTACACACTTTTAAAGAGAAATAAACATTTATTTAACAAGAATATTTAGGAATGCAAAAAAGAAAATTTAAATATCCGAAATGAATAAATAAATACAAAAAAACAGTCTGTCAGTCTCTCACTCTCAGGTGTGCAGTTAAGTTGGTTGTATTTGCTCTTTTTGTTGAGATGGTTTTAGAACAAATCCGGCGATTTTCATGTCTTTCTCTTGCGCTCAACTCTCTTTTCTTCTCCGCCTCGTCTCCCCCTCATGAAGATCGCACTGTGTGTGTGTGTGGCTCATAGCCCCGCCTCCCCCACAGAGACAAAGACACTGGATGACAAGAGCTTTCCCTCCATTCATTACACTAATGAACCAACTCACCTGGCTGCCAGACGATGCACGGCAGTGAACGCTCTTGTCGTCCAGCCTCTTTGGTGGAGAGAGACAAAGAAAACAAACACGCATGAATATGGCAATTAATCGCAGCCGGAAAAGTTACCGTCTCCCTTTTAATTTACCGTGCAGTTAACCGACTTATCACGACAGGCCTACCAACGAAGTCAATAACTACCAGCGAGTCACAGGGAGAGCAGGGCGGGTCATGTCTATCGTAGGAAAAGAAAATATGCATACCATAGATACTGGGGTTGCAGTTCTTGCAGACCTGACGGGGCAACATATAAACCTATGAGTGTATTGGTGTGGCGATAAAAGCCAAAGAAGCCAGACCTATCACCATGGCACTGTGTCAGTGCTTGAGAAAGGTGTGAAATCACCAGTTCTGCTACAGTGGAAAAATGCTCTGGCTTGTTTGTGTTTCTTTAAACCAGTCACAGTTGTCCTGGGCAATGCTTAGCACAGGATGCAGTGTAGCGACTACTATCAATAAAAAAAAAAAAAGCTGCTAAGAGGCTGAGTCGGCTCTTAACTGTGACTCACTGAAAGAAATACATGTCCAAGTCCAACGTTGCGTTTTTATGGTGATATTTTAAACAAACAAACAAACAAATACAACAACAAATATTGGAGCCAACACTCAACCTCTTTGTCTAAAGAATGGTCACGCCAGTGAATGAACAGGTAAAATAATGTGAAACCAATCCCCCACACCTGTGTCAATTACAACCGGAAGTGAAAGTGACCAAAAGAAGGTGTGCAGCCTAACAAATAATAAACAACAGAGGTTAAATATAGATTATGGCTCCTACACGCAGCAATAGTGCAGCTGCAAAGCTGAGCCATTTTGGTACTGATGTGAGTTTGTTGGGACCATCAAACTGCTCAGTGTTGGTGTTAGTGCTGCTGTTGTGTAGCTTGTGCACGGAGACAGCGGTAACGGAAAGTTAGCTGATCCAGCAGGGAGTCAGGACGCTTCAAGATCTCGTGAAAAGGATCGTATTCAGGTGAAAACAGATCAGCGTCAGGCATCCAAGTGTCTCAGTGCCCGAACAGCAGTGTAAAAGTGAAGAGCGCTCACTCCGCAGCAAAATATGTGGACTAAAGCATCCACAGAAAAATACTGCGCACTAACTGACAAAGAAAAAAAAAGACTGTGCAACTTGAAGCAGTCTCAGTTGACTAAGTGGTCTCCTACTGGTGATTTTTAGGGGGCAGTCCTACTCACCATTTAAGAAAAAAGAAACGCCAAATGTGTAGCGCTCAGCAGCTCGTCACACTGCTGGCGCATGTAGTAAATACACCATGTGCCTCAGGAAAAAAAAAAAACACCCTTTGGTGGGCATGACCCCAAAGTCATTATAATGAGAACCTTTGTCAAGATAATAATTTAGTATCTCAAAATAATGAGACTCTTTTAGCTGATTATTTTGAGCTAGTTTGTTATTATAACAATTTAAAGCATCTTTTTTCATCACAAGGCCAAATGTTCCGCTTTTTCCCCTCTCACTGGCACTAATGGGCTTCCATAATAATCTGCTCTTTATACCTGCAGCAAGAAAATGACCACTTACTTCCACCATGTTATCAGATATAGAACAAAACTATCCAAACTAAAAACGGTGGAGTTGCTAACGAGCTGTCGGCTTCATCTCTCAGTCTCAAGTCTGAAAGCTGGTCAGTGGACCTCTGGGAAGAGTGTTGTGTTACAAAATATTCTGAGCTCAGAGGTGGAAAATGAACGTTCATGCTCAACTTTTTCCAGGTGTTTTTGTAAATGACGGCGGGTCAGTTCACTTTCCTAAAACTCCTCCTGAGGTTTTCAGCTCTCTGTGTTTCAGAGGAAGACTGGTGACTGGATTATAATGTCAGCTGCCAACACACTTTTTCCACCCAGCCATCCTGCAAACACTGAGCAAGGTTTTGAAATATGTGATAGAGGATGTGTTTAGGTTTGAAAAAAATAATAATCTGACCTCTTGGATGTTAAAGACACGTCCGCAGTTTGGAGCAGCAGTGAAATTCACAGCTGAGCAACAAACAGACTCTCCCATCTCCAGCGAGGCGTAAATGTGACGTTGACATATTGTTCAGAGTTAAGTCGGACTGGGTGTGTGAGCTCGTGTCTTTCTGTCGTTCAGGGTGGACGTCGTGATCTGCCTCAGCACCACGGTGAGGAACGACACCCTGCAGGACGTCAAGGAGCAGCGAGTGTCCATCAAGTGTCGTAAACAGCTGCGGGTGGAGGAGGTGGAGATGGTACGTTCACTGACACAGTTCACAAACACACAGCACAGATCGCAGCCAGTCAGCGCAGCCAGTCAGCGCAGCCAGTCAGCGCTCCATCCACTGTAACATCTCATTAGTTTCCAAAGAGACTCACTGTCACTTAGAGACAGGAAGTCTGAATGTCTGACAACAGTCCGCCAAGTTACCGGACACGTGTTTCCTTTTTTTTATAATCTAAAAGAACAAATTAAAGACCAGCTTCCACTCGTCTGGTTTCAGGCTCCACCGTGTGTTTGAATCTGGCTGCAGGGATTTATTCACATTCATACACGGTCAACATTGTGTCACTGTCCCACACATTTCCAAATTTGGTGTTTCTCAATGAAACACTGACGGATTAAATGTTTCTTCAATGGGCTGAGAAAATCCTCCGGCTTATGTAACGTACACCATTTTAAAAACTCATCGGTTGATCTGAAAGATGCCTCGTCACAAAGCTGAAAACAGCTGATGAAAAGTTGGTATTTTGGGCAGCTGTGTCTCAGGAGGTAGAGCGGGTCGTCTGCTGCTCACAGTGTTGGAGAGCCTGTGTGGGAGCTGCCCGCCTTCCATGTGAATGAGCAGCAGAAACCTTGTAAACAAAGTGCTGTATAAATGAAGCCATTTACCTTTGGCATGCATGTTTTTCACAGGATAGCAACCAGATTGGTCACTGATGTTGCTTCATCAGTTTATTCTGATGTTCCAGTTCATCCCAAAGGTGTTAAGGGGGGTCAGAGGTCAGAGTTCCAGTCACTGTATGGAGCTGGCTTTGTGTACAGAGACACTGACTACATGTACACACACAAAATATAACATGTTTTGCCCTTCTTCTGAAAAAGACAATATTTGTATTAAACTGTTTACACGGTTAAGGAAAATGAATATTCCACTAATCCTCCTGTTTACATGCAGTCATGCACACTCTGATTAACGTGCCCTAATATGTCGTTTATCACATCAACATCTAGAAATGCTAAACAGCTGGAGCTGCTTGTCATTTTGTTTCCTTGCATCAAAATAAGATTTTTTTCAGAGTTTTCTAAGGGTGGCCGACCTGCTGATATCTAAGTCTTTTCATAATGTTTAAAAGCAGATGAGTTTCACCCTCATGCCAGAAACTTGGGTTCGTCTTTTGGCCATGCATCTCTGCTCAGCCTTGCAGGCGAGCGCTGGCGAGTTGGTTTGTGTTCAGCAAATCCACGGCAACACACAGAGATGACCTGAAACAGACAAGAAGCCGTGTGTTGCAAACTGTTGTAAAAACCCCAGTTGAGATGCATATTGCAAATTCGCTGTAGACATGTCCAGATAATGCTCTGAAATCCTGAGTAATATTAGCATGTCCCAAATGTCTTAATCAGGAAATGCTAAATTTGGTAGAAGGCCAAATTCTCATGACCCACAGCAAATTCAGAATATAGTCGGAATTATGGTTAAATGTTGGTGTGCATGTAATTGTAGCTGTTGTTATGTTGAAACAGGAAAGGAACAAACACAAACTACCGACACAAAGAACAATATTATCCTAAATATTCTTGTATGCTGTAGCATCAAAAATTTCCTGTGTTTGATTTCGTAAAAACTGTCCTATACACCACTGGCTGTATACTTGTGGTCATATAATGAATTAACAGCATTCAAACCTTTATTTAATTTTATTTTGTTTTATATTATTTGTTTATTTTATTTTAAGTTTTTTCCTTCATTCTATAGCTGCCCAGCAGTGTTGAGTGTCAAACCTGAACCTTCAAAATTTTGTGGAGGTCAAAAATGCTATTTTGATGAAGGTTTCTGCATGAGGACATTGTGACATTAACACCACCAGCACCACCTGCCTGATTCGCCTCTACATGACTGAGCCAAGCCTTTCTAATTCACTATATTCCTCTAAACCGGCTAACTGGCTCAGAAGCTAAGTAACGTACTGCTGTGGACGCACAATAACATGAACTAATTAACTGGTGGAGGCAGGGTCAGACCAGCAACTCCCATGTTTTGTGAATCAAAATTTCCTCAGAGGATTGTGGTGGTTTTAGGGATGTAGTTCCCTGTCCCCCTTCTCCAAACTGACAACATGCCGACCATCTTCTAAAGACAATACACTGACTATGGCTAAGTGCCTCACACAACCCCACTTTTAAAAAATCCAAACTATCCCTGGTTATTTTTATCAGCGCTCTAACCTGCGTCACTGCTTATTGCTAACTGCTGAATGAGCATCTCCATTTGAGAGCGCTGATGGAGTCGACCTTAAAGACCGTGAATTCTAAAAGTTGCATAATATTGTAATTATTTTCTAGCTGTGATCAGACAGAGACTTTTATCACAGTTAAAATCCGTCAGAGAGGAGCTTTGTGCTTCAGCAGCACTTAAATAAAATCCCTTATTATTATCACATCATTGTATAAACCCTTGGGTGCTCTCAGAGAAAATGTTCTTTAAGATCATTTATGAAACAAATCAAGTCGGATGAACAGAAAGCAGTTAATCTGAAGTGTGTGAACTATGTATATTTCTATTGCATGCGTGCGAGTGTGTGTCTCGGGAACAACGAGAGAAATCGCACACAGAGGTTCAGCGTGTTTGATGTGGAGCTTCTTACACAGCAGATTGCCTAAGGTACCATTCAAACATTTATAAAACCTCAGCAGGCCAACAGCAAACACTTCTTTTTCTGCTCTTCTCGTCTGAGCTCTTGATCTCTCCTGAGACACTCGCTGAAGCCCGTCAGTTTCTTTTTTCTCTCTACTGCACATATTAAAAGTGTCTGTGTTTTTCTTTACTTCTGTGTTTTCTGTAAATCCACTAAACCTTCCCCTGAATCTGTGCAGTCAGAGGACATCCGCCTGGAGCCGGAGCTGTTCGAGTCCTGCAAGCTGGACATCAACAGACTGTGTCAGAACGTGGCCTTTGGCAACGCACAGGTCAGCAGCTACACACAAACACACACCTCTTTTTCAGCCACTGTACCTCTACAGCAGTTTGGAAAATACGCTGAGTTTTGTCTAAAAAGTATTTTGGTAATTGCTCCAAAATGTCAGACATGTCAGAGTGATGTAATCAGGTGTGAACCCAGGGTGACAGTATAATTAGCTGTTAGCTGTAGTGTTCTGTTCAACAGATTAAATGCTGTGAAACATTTTCCATCAGTTCAAGAAACAAAAGTTTTTGCAGTACAGACCACAATCTGTAGAGTAACTGTCAGTGCCCTAAACGTCCAGCAGGGGGCAGGTTTGTTCAGGCATCAGTGCAGCATCATGCATCATTGTTTCCTGTGAGCCCACAGGAGAGACCGTTACCTTTTTTCATCACCACCTTTGGCCATGCCGAGTCAAGCCATGCTGCGCCCATTTGTTTTTCCATTATCAGTTTGCAAATAAGACTTCACTGTGCTCAAGAACGCAGCATTACCTTTGAAACTGAATCTTGAGAAGAGAAGATCCTGCACGCTGTCACCTCTGATATCTAACAGTCTGATTCTCTCTCTTTCACGTAGGTTATCGAGTGTCTGAAGGAGAACAAGCGTCAGCTCACTCAGCGTTGCCACCAGCGAATCTTCAAGCTGCAGGAGGTGGAGATGGTCGATCCTGAACTGGACTACCAGCTGATGAGAGTCTGCAAGCATATGATCAGGGTAGGCCAGTACAACCGGCGCCACATGATCAGGGTAGGCCAGTACAACCAGGATTTAAACTTAAGGGTTTGAACCTGGCTTTAATATGTCGTCACAGTAATTCCATAAAACAAAGTGATCGATGAGACTAAAGCACAGTACGGATCAAACAGTGAAGTGTGTCAGTGTGTTTGTGTGTCAGTGTGTTTGTGTGTCAGTGTGTTTGTGTGTTTGCTCCTGTTTGTAACTGCATCTTTGTGTGACTGTGCATTCCAGCGGTTCTGTACGGAGTCGGAGGGAAAGAACGTTCTTCAGTGTCTGAAACAGAACAAGAACAGCGAGCTGATGGATCCTAAATGTAAACAGATGATCACCAAGAGACAGATCACCCAGAACACAGGTACACACACACACACACACACACACACACACACATTCAACTAAATACATCATACTTTTACCTAACAACCACAAGTACATCTACTAAAAGTCGTGTGTGTGTGTGTGTGTTTAGACTACAGGCTGAACCCGGTGCTGAGGAAGGCCTGTAAAGCCGACATCCCAAAGTTCTGTCAGCCAATCCTGAACAAGGCGTCTGCGGACAGCGAGCTGGAGGGTCAGGTCATCTCCTGCCTCAAACTGAAATACGCCGACCAGGTCAGACCCTTTGTCTTCACTGTAACAACACGTCCAAGAGTTAGTTTAGAGAGCGCCACCTCACTTCCTCTTTCTCTGTTCTTTAACACCGAGGGTTTCTGTCATCAGTCTGAAGCGTCTCACTGAAGTTTCCTGTTCATATTCTGAGACAGATTAATATCAGATGCAGTTAGGAGGCAGTTTACAGAGTGTCCCTGTTAAGAAGCAAATCTTAACCCTGAAACATGTCTGGTTCAACTCCCGCTGGCGCAGTCACATGCGTCTCTCCTCGTGTTTCATGTCTGCCCGCCAAAATAAAATAGAAACCTCCTGGGAGTGCAAATGAAATCCTTAGAATAAAGATATATGTCACTGTTTTTAAAGATGGAAACCATTTTATCTTGGACAGCTGTTCAGGATGAAATTATTGTTATAATATTGAAACTTAAAGTTAGTGCATGAGAAGAGGTTTGTGTGTACATACAGATATGAAGTGTTGATACTGTTTATACTGAATATTAAATCATTCAGTGCATCTAAAATCAAGAAGTCCTAAAGACAGTCAGCCTGTAAGGTCATATAGATGTTCATGTGTGTGTTTCTGTGTGTGTGTGTGTGTGTGTTGTGACAGCGTTTGTCTCCAGACTGTGAGGCTCAGATCCAGATCATCCTGCAGGAGTCGGCGCTGGACTACAGACTCGACCCTCAGCTGCAGATCCACTGCACACAGGAGGTTCGCACATTCATGCTTCCTTACAAATGCGCGCGCTCTGAAAGTCTCACTGTGAATTATGAGGCTCAGTTTTAAGAAGCAAAAGAAATTAAGTTTTAATAACCTTTTACTTTTATTTAATCTTTCATTTTGATTTTTGATTCCAGGTTAGTTTTAGAAATGCTGAGATTTTAGTTTAGTTTTTATTTAGTTCTGGGTTTTTAAGTGTGGTGATGAAAACTTTGATTAATAGTTGTTCTCCCTGCAACTTCAGCCATTTTTAGAAAACCTTGTTTGCATATCAAGCTTTTTCTTTTTCATTTATTTTCTTGGGGTTTTATGTCAGCTGGCATCCTCTGTGTTGCACCGCCACCACCTTCAGTCACTACTTTAGGACTCCAAACAAAACAGGACGAAGTAGTGTAGCAACCACAGTGTGCATGGAGGGAGAAAACTAAACATATCTTCCCACATTTAAGTTTCGTGTTTTTGAAGACTGGCGTTTTTATTTTGTTTCAGTAAAAAAAAAAAACATTTTAACTGCTAGTTATAATTTCAGTCTTAGATTTTGTTAACTATAAACTGCTCTTCAGATATTTTGGTTTTGCCACAGCAGCTGCCAAAAAGTTTCATTAAGTGAAAAAGACTGAGTCTTATTGTCTGTATTTTTTTAACTTCTAAAAACGTGTTTTAAATCTGACATTCTCAGTTCGTCATCTATCAGCTTGTGTCTGGCATTATTTCTGTTTAGTACAGAAAATTAAATTATGTAAAGATTCTTGTGTATTAACTGTGTAAGTGTTGCACCATTAACTTCAGATCCTGGAGAATTCTTTATATTATAAGTACTGAATTACGGAGGACTGGACTCACCTGGAATCTAACATGTGTTGTAATGCAGTCCTCTGGCCAGCAGGGGGCGACTATGGCTTGATAATTAGCAGAGGAGAATAAAATTGCTGCTGCTTTCAGTGGTACAGTAGTTTAGGTGAAAGCAGCTGGTGTGTTTGGCTACAGGGACTCTAAACAGATACATCCAGAGATGATATGTTCACTTCCTTCAAATTTTAAATCTGGAGACGTTAAAACTTTTGTTGAGACTTGAAAACCGTCTTGAAATCTTCATTTTTTATCATCATCCTGACAGAGATTTGGTTTACAGGCATTAAATGCACAAAATCATGGAGGCAAGGCAAATCTAAACATATAAAAACTAATGATATGAAAATCTAATGTAAATAATATAAAAATAAAAACAGTGTCAGTTGAGCTCCTTCATGCACACTGATCCCCGTGGAGCTGCTGATCCTACATTCTGTCAAACCATGTTGAAATTAACGCAGACTGATCCTGATGAAACCTGACGAGTGGAAATTAGTACAGCTGATGCCACTAATATGCAAATTATCACAAGATGTCATCTGGCTGAGTGGAACATTTAATAACTGCTGAGAAGTCCGTTTCTGACGATTTATTTTCAATGTGAAAATGAAGATAACACACGTCCGACTCAGAGCTCAGAGCTCAGCCGTGCTCACAGGGAGCAGGTTGTGGCTCGGTGTCTTGCTCAGAGGCACGCTGGCAGCTCACACAGATGTTATTGACTATGTGTGTGTTTTCAGATTTCCAGGCTGTGTCCGGAGGAAGCAGCAGCTCAGGAGCAGACGGGGCAGGTGGAGGAGTGTCTGAAGGTCAACCTGCTGAAGATCAAACAGGAAGGATGTAAGAAGGTAAAGAAAGTCACTGCTGCCTTCACTGACCACTGAGGGGGAGAGGAAATCACAGCATCTTCACACAGTTTATTTTAATTTTAAAACACAACTGTTTCCTCCGCTGGCACGGTGAGGGGGTTAACGTAGTTTACATTACGCATCAGTCAGGAGCTAAATGCCAGACTCTTGGCAGTGCCACCAGGATTTCAGGATCGAAACAGTTAAAGCAAATTCAGCCCGTCCCCATGAATTCTGTGCAACCGTGCAATTTTCTCCGATCATAGCAGCGTTTAGTGCATTTAAAAAAAACAATTTAAAATAATGTAATTGAAAAAACAACAGTAATTTTTAAAACTTAAAGAAAAACAAAAACACCTATAAATATATAGATCAGCTGTCATCTGGCATTTCAGGCTGCAACAATCACAAAACAACCCGTGAAATCCTGGAGGGACCGACTGATGTAAACCTTCTCATCTTTTTCTCTTCATCCTTCTCCTCCTCTTCTTCATCCTCTGTATCCCCCCCCCCCCATCTCTCCTCCTCTTCCTCCTCCTGCAGGAGGTGTTGAACATGCTAAAGGAGAGTAAGGCGGACATCTTCGTCGACCCCGTCCTCCACACAGCCTGCGCTCTGGACATCAAACATCAGTGTGCAGCGATCCCACCTGGCAGAGGGCGCCGTGAGTCCACGAACACACACACACACACGAACACACACACCTCAGCTGAAAATTAAATAGAGCTAGTGATAATAACCTGAAATAAAAATGCAGAAAATCTTTATCTGCGTGTTTTGTACGATGGAATTTTAATTTAAACTCCTAAAAAATGAAGAACAATAAAAAGAAGCGTGATTGCAACTAAAATTTGATTCTTTATTTTACATTTAGATAGATTTGTAATTCCAAAGATTCTAGACAGAAAATGATTTTCAGTTTTAGATTTAGGATTTTTTTCTCTTTATTAACACACATCAAGTCTGTAAACATTATTTTAATGTTTTTAGTTTCAGTTTATTACAATATTAATTGACATGTTTGTTTAATTTGTTAAAACTAAGACATATTAGAAACTATATAAACAAAGATTAAATATCTTCTAACCGTCGTCTCTGAATCGTCAGACCTCAAACACAACGCAGCCACAAACCAAACTTAAATTCCTAAACTTGTTGTGTTGTTTCCTCAGAGATGTCGTGCCTGATGGAGGCGCTGCAGGACAAACGTGTTCGTCTGCAGCCGGAGTGCAAGAAGAGACTTCAGGATCGCATCGACATGTGGAGCTACGCCGCCAAGGTACGACCAAAGGGAGCTTTATTTTGAAACTCATGCATGGAGCTAGGCAAAATCAAACGTAAAGAGGCCTCTAGTTTGAAATTGACAAGGTTCATAGCTTCTGACTAAAGTTTTCCTTTATTTTGAAACCGATTGAACTATACATAGTTTGTTCTAAAGGGTCGTTTATTTTGGAACTGATGAATGAGTTGCATGAAATCAATCTTAAATGGGCTTTTAATTTGAAATTGAGGTAAGTAGTTGTGTAAAATCCATATTAAATGGGCTTTTATTTTGAAATTGAGTTAGCAAGCTTCATAAATCAAGTTTAAAGAGGCCTTTATTTTGAAATTAAGTGAACAAACTAAATAAAATCAGTCTTTAATGGGCTTTTATTTGGACATTGAGTTAACAAAGCTGTATAAAATGAATCTGAAATGGGCTTTTGATTTGAAATTTAGTTAACAAGCTGTATAAAAACAGTCTTAATGTGGCTTTTAGTTTGAAATTGAGGTAACAAGCTCTAAAAACAGTAATAGACGGGCTTTTAAGTTGAAATTGAGTTAGCAAGATGTGTAAATCCAGTGACCTTTATTTTGAAATCGAGTTAACAAGCTGTATAATATCAGTCTTAAATAGGCTTTTAATTTGTAATTGAGATAACCAGGTATATAAAATCAGTATTAAATTAGCTTTTAATCTGAAATTGACTTAACAGGCTGTATACAGTCTAGCTAAAACAGGCTTTTGGTTTGAAATTCATCATCTGACTAAAGGATCCTTTATTTTGAAAAATTATCTAGTTCACTTTTATTTTTTAATGTATAAATGAGCTGCATACAGTCAGTTTTAAATGGGCTTTTAATTTGAAATTGAGTTAACAAGCTATATCAAAATCTTGTCTAATAGGGCTTTTATTTTGGAAGTCATTATGTTAGCTGCATGAAGTGGACTGCTGTGACTGATATGTCCTCACCTCCTGTCAGGTGGCTCCCGCTGAGGGCTTCTCGGACCTGGCCATGCAGGTGATGACATCACCGTCCAAGAACTACATCCTGACTGTGATTGGTGCAGGCGTGGCGCTGCTCTTCATGATGGGGCTGCTCTGCGGCAGATTCACCAAACGCGTCACTCAGGAGCTGAAGGACAGGTAGACCCCGCCCACTCTGGGGTCAGGACACACCCACAGAAGAAACGACCACCTCCCCCTCTTCATTTACTTCCTCTCCTCCACCTTCACCTCCCACTTCAGTCCTCCTCACCACTTCATTTACAAACTCCCTCTGCCTCTTCTTCCATCGCTGGAATGACATCACCCACAATCCTGCAGACGAACGTGGGCTTGATCAGTGACTCACCTGCTCTTCCTCTACACAAGCCCCGCCTACTCCCCGGGAGGCCACACCCCCTCTCTTTTTCTTTTTCTTTTTCTTCTTTTCCTTCTGAGCTTTGATCCAGAGCGCCGGGTCCTCCTGCAGTTTAACCCGCACTCACCTGATGTAGATGCAGTATAATTACTCTGCGCCTTTTTTTTTTTCTTTTCCTGCCCTTCGTTGTGGGCCGAGGGGTGGTGGGAGGGTGAGGAGAGGGGGAGGGGTGGGGGTTCTAAGGATACGGGGTCAGAGGTCAAGATATGGAGGCGAAGGAGGTGAATGAATCATAATAAGTGTAAATGTGTAGAAAGTGGGAAATGCTCATGTATAGAGCAGTTTAATGACTCCAGTATTTTAACGACTTAAGTGTGTGTGAGCGTGCGTGCGTGCGTGTGTGTGTGCGTGTGTGCGTGTGTGTAAATGAAACTGTCTTTCTATCACCATATTGTTCTAGTTTGTCCTGCTAAACGGTTTTCGGGGGTTGTTTTGGATCTGGATATATCTTCTTTTCTTTCGTTTTGCTGATGTGTGTGTTAGTTAGATTTTATCGCCATGGGACTGCCAGGCGGGCGGTGCCAACCAGCCAGCCCTCCACCGAGCCACAGATAAGATGAAGAGAGGTGGAGGGAGGAGGGGGGACACATCACAAACACTCCCAGCCGGCTCGCTGAAAGCTCTTCTTACAGCAGGAATTATTTGTGGATATTTTTATTTTACTCTTTCTGAAACAGCAGACCTGGCAACCTCAGCTCTCTTCTAATGCAGTCCGATACTTTTTTTTTTTAAGATTTGTTTTTCCCAGCCCAACCTGTGCCATAAACACACCACGCTCGTCCACCTGCTGCTCCCAGTGTAGTCGATGTTCACCGCTCCAGCAGCTGGTTGGGACGTTTGTTTGGCAGCACGCCGTGACACAGAGTCAGGAGTCGTGCCAGCCTGATCCAAGACTGGGCGGAGCAGAAAGACTGGGCTTCTTTTGTTTTTATTATTATTTTGGCCCCCAGTCATGAACTCGCAGAGCGGCTGTTGGTATCGCACTGGTTGGTACGTAAAAAGCTGAGAGCAATGCAGGAATTAAAAAAAATAAAGAATTGAAAAGATTCTAGATTATTATAGAGATGTGAACATTTTGTGTAAAGATGATACTGGAATCATTGCACATTTTTCGTTCTTTTTTTTATATCTATAAATATATATATATTGTTTTGTCATAGCCTTATTTATTTGTTTACTAATGGTCAAAGTTTTTTTTTTTTTTCCTATGATTTGAATGTTCTCTGGTTGCCTTTTCTCCAGCAAGCGAGCGTCCCTCTTTCCTGCAGGGGGAGGGAGGGAGGATATGGGGGAGGACACAGGCGGCGAAGGTTCGGCCTCCTCTGGGCATCAACCTGCTCCAGCAGCTGATTGTTTCACGTGTGGCAGTGATCGCCTCTCTGATGGGCGGTTAGGTTTCATGAAGTCAGCAGCACATTGAGCCTGATGTATGGCAGAGTGCGCACAACACCTTTAACGAGTGTCGCTCAACAGAAATTGAAGAGCTGTGTGGCATTTTCAGTTTATACTTTGGCGAAAGATTAAAGTCGTCTTCAGAAATATAAGAATGTTTGTGTCCGTTCCCTCAGAACGAGGTGTGTATGTCTACACAGGGAGCAGGTCCTTGTTTATGGAGATCGCCATGTTGCACCGCCATGTTTTTACAGTAGCCCAGGACAGACAAACCAGACACTGGGTCTAGACAGAGACATTTGTGTTTTTTCAAGTCAGCCACTGTAGTTAGAAGCGCCTCGAGAATGTCAGAGAACCTCTGATTTGTAACGTGAAAGTGTTTTATTCAGTGTTTTTGCCGTTTTAAATCAGCTGGTCCGTTTGTTTCGGAGAGGAAGAGACCTCTGTGGATCTTTCAGCTCCTGGTCAAAACCTCCTGAACAATGAACACTGAAGGAATTCTAACCAGAAGTTTCAGCTGGTTGCAATGTGCAGTCCTCACCACTAGATGCCACTAAATGCCCCTGAAGCTTACACACTGTTTCTTTAATTTTACTTAGAAGACAACGGGAACATAAGAAAAGAGGATGTTCAGTGCATCCATTGAACCAATCAGTGAGTTGAAGGGTGAAAATATTTTGGTCCAGCAAACGCAGGACATGGACGAGGAGACGTCAGGTATTTTTGGATGTCTGCCAACTGTTCTGCTAATCCGGTGAGCCCTGAGATGGTCCTTTGTCGCTCGCGCTGAGACACACAACACTGCAGCAGATGTTTCAGAGAGGCTCACCGTGACCACCACAGCACATTGCATGACAAACTCTGACGTCTGCAACACAACATTCTCCAGGTGCACAACATAAGAGACACGGCATCTGAGTTTGTGCATCAGTATCTGTCATGTGATGATTCTTTGGGGATGACCACTGGTGCTGTCACGCACCATCAAAGCTGATGAGTGATGTTGATATGAATGGGACGAGGGTTCAGTTCATGGAGCAACATCTGTTGGACACGGACAGAAAACAGTTTTACTGTAACATGGCTTTTGAAGACACAAATATTAAGGATGGGAGCTGAGGAGATGTTGGGTCAAAATGAGGTAGTGCTGAAAACTGTACGAAGAAAATCAATATTAATTTCACCAGTTAAACATTTGCAGGAACAGTGAACTCAGAGCAACAGAGATTTGGGACATCACGATTGTTTGAAAGGTGCTGTTTAATTTGGAACAGGTCACAGGTTCATTTTCATTTAGGTTTTCTTGGAGAGCTAAAAAATCCACTAAACCTGCCTGATGTTATTATAACATTATTATATCATCCTCAGTAACAAACATGCTGCCGCGTTGGGAAGCAGCTGCACTTGTGCAAAGAGTGTCGGATACATTGCACTCCTGGAATTTGAGCCCATGTTGTGAAGGAAGATGTTTGAGCATCTTGATGATCAAGCAGCTCTGTTGTTGTCTTTTTTCTTGAAGTGAAGTCACGCTTTGGATCGTTTCTTTCTCGCCACCATGACTTTTTCTGTCTGTATGTTTCCAGCAGCGTAGACGCAACCCAGTCACCAGAGTAAATGTAGACATTGTACGTTTCTGCAGCGGGCACGTTCCATTTCTACGTTAATATGTAGCGGACCAGTGAAACTTTACGTTTGGAGAATGGAGACTGACTTTGTCAACGCTGTGGTTAATGTTTGGTGTAGTTCAGGCACAAAAAGCATTGATGAAAGGAATGGAGCTGGGAGGTTTACGATTCTGATGGATCGGACAATTTTGAACCAGTTCCCATCCCCAATAATTCTCAGTAAGGATACCTCTCAGTGTTTAACCTGATCATGAAACGATGGATCATTTTTCTTTCTGTAGTCCAGCCCAAACTGAACCAAACCACAGGTGAAGGAAACCAAAATTCAGCATGTTCTCATGTTGTCTCAAATCACAGGTCTTTGTAGTTTCTTTCTGCTTCGTCATGTCGGTGCCAAGTAAACGATCTTGGCTGTGAGCAGAGGAAAGAGAAACACGCACAAAACAAAGACCAGGAAAACCCAAACTGGACGACAAACTAAAGAAACGTAACAAAATGATTTAAGCTCAAAGCTCCACTTGTTGGCTTCCTGCGGGGGCTTGGTTGCACCTCATGGTCGTCTTCAGTGAGCTGGTGTTTGACTTGTGTCTGAAAGCAGAGCGACTTGTCTCTGGATCTGGTTCGTCAGATGTGTCTCTGCTCAGCCTGCAGGTTGATGCCGGAGGATGAAGGCGGTCGAGGTTTCGGTGTATTCGGACGTAGGAGAGTCGCAGTGTTGTCGAGCTTTTTGGTCTCGGTGTGAAGACGGAATGGAAATGTTCTAAAAGGTTCGGCTCAGAAACACTGAAGGAGCGCGTGTCCTCTCCCAGATCGAGCCCATCATGTGTACATGTGTACTATACTGAGTGATGACATACTGTAAACTACGTACCGTGCAGTCCGCCTGTACTGTTCATTTTTTTCTAACTGTTGACGCTTGGTGTGGTGAGCGCTGCCCTCTCTGCTTGTAAATGAGACGTCCTGATTCGTTGAACTGCCTTCACTTTTTTTCTCCATCTGACGTCGGTTTATCAAAGCGTGCCTACTCGCCGTCCCACCGGGGGACCCCGCTGTACAGAACATCCCAGAAGCCCCTGCAGCACACAGCAGAGGAGCACGTGGGCGTGTGTGTGTGTGTGTGTGTGTGTGTGTGTGTGTGTGTGTGTGATGGAAGATGTGTGTGTGTGTGTGTGTGTGTTGCCCACAGATGCTGGACTGCGAGTGCGATCTCCGGTTGGTTCCTCGCTGTTGTCGTCGTCCCGAGCGATGACGACTAGAACATTTTTGATTTTAAGTTTGTGATGATAAAGATCTTTTTGTAAACGATGTTTTGTGTCTGAATCCACGGAGCTCCTCATCATCTGATTTATTTTCCCACTTTTCTTTTTTGTCTTTTCTTTTTGTTGTTCTGTACAGATGAGAATTGGACAGTTTGTTAATAATAATAAAGTCTGCAAGGTTTCTATTCTGTTGTCCCGTCTGTTTATTATAAAACTGTCTTTAAAATGTTTCTTCTTGTCACAAATCTCTTGTTGAGACTCAAACCAACAGCAAATGTTGTGACTAACAAAGTGTGTGTCTCTACAGCCTGATACTAAAACACATCTGGTGTGCCAAATCATCTCGTTCACAACAATACCAGTACGAGTTCTAATACGATATAAAAAATTCATATCGTGATACTCGCAGTATTTCGACTTGTTGACATACTGACGTCATACTGTTACCCACGGCAACAACAATCATGGCTGAAAGTGAAATTATTAACAACTCAAAAGTGGATCCAAAAAGAGGAGCAGCTTCAGTAGTGTGGAATAAACTGTGTCGTCCTGAATGTTTTACTTCTCTTAGCGCTCAGAGGGAACTCATTCAGCGGCTCCTCTGGCAGCAGCACAGCGGAGTCAGTGTTGTCAAGTGATTTTGTCATAAACCTTTGGTGATGTAAACCTACGTGAAAAAACTCCATATATGTGACTGTGTGATAGTTGTGGTATCATAACAGCCTGTCACAGGTTACAGCTGATGATTAGAGGAGAAATGGCAGAGCATAAAATGTGTCAATGTGATGTTTTGTTTTCTGTCACGTATCTTCATGTATGCCCGCCAGCTGAAGTTATGTTTGAAGAGAGTTTGAATCTTAAATGTTTGGAAAAAACACCGGGCAACAACCCACCTGCCCCACTTGGACTTTTGTCGCCTTAACTTTCGTTCTTGTCTCGCTGTGTTTCCCCCTGACGACGCCGAGTTCGGTGAAACTATACAACAAGTGGCTGCATATCATGCCGATGTGAAAGATTGGCTTTGGGCGCCTGTGTCTGACGCCACAAGTCATTGCCCAAGTTCTGGATTTTGACAAAGCCATCCTCACATCCTGTCGGATTGTAAAGTCAAACCCTGTTCCATTTTTCTCTAAAGCTAACCAAGTACTTTTATTGTTGGTGGATAAAAAAAGTGAATCTGCAGTGTTGTGTACTGACGTAGTGCTTTTATTTTGAAAGAGACTGTATGCAAACTGTGCATTTCCTGTGAAAACAGAAGTGTATTTTGAAAACAGACAATGCATGTAACAGGCTGAAGTTGACACGGCGTCCCAGAACGTCAACAGCCAACACACCCAGGGTACCTTGGACGTCATATGTGGACGTGGAAAGTCCATGACCAAACGTGGACATGTGACGAGGTCACAGTGAGGATGATGATGGTGCATCACCCCTCCCGCCTGCCCCACTTGGACTTTCGTCACCTTAAGTTCTTGCCCGCCGCGCTGAGCACCGTTAAACTATATAGCAAGTATATCGCATATCATGGCGATGTGAAAGGATTTTGACGACTGTAGGGTGAGACTGTGTTTGTCATGTGGACGATGAAACTGAGAAATGGCCCTCAGCCTTCACAGGTGCATCAGTATCAGGTGTGCAGAATCATCATGTGGGTTGGATTTGACTGTTTCTGGGCTGGTTCTGGCCCGTGGGCCGTATGTTTGACACCCCTGATATAAATGTACTCTTCCTTCCTTCCTGCAGCCGGCGGTTTCATTATATTTAGTCATCTTTAACTAAAGATCAGAGTCATGTCCACTTGTATTTCATCTTGGTTTCAAAACATCTCGTCAAAGAACTACAGCTGGAAAGTATTTAACTGTCCATAGAAATAAAGAAATGAAATGAAATGTTCTTGTTAACTTACAGGAACTCGAGTAGTTCAGCTCACAATGTTAAAGCAATAATGTGGTCTGCAGAGAACTCATATCAGACATTTCTAGAAACATTTCTCTGTATCTCTCTCTCATAAATCTACACACACATGTGACTATTGAGCTGACGTCACAAGCTAATGTACGAGTGTGTGTGAGTGTGTGTTTGCCTGTGTGCCGTCTTCATGTCGACATACATTTTGTGTTTTTTCTGTCTTGTACGTGTGTGTGAGAATGTGTCGGTGTGGACACATGCGCCTGTATGTCTGCGTGTGTTGTGTGTGTGTTCAATGTGTGTGTGTCCTGTCTGGTCTCTGGAGGCTTCAGGCTGTCTGACAGATCTGTGTTAAATTCTTCGGTCAAAACACGTCGACCTCGAGCAAAGCTGCAGTTTAAAGACTCAAATGTCTCAAAACATCCAAAAGCAGCCTCTGTGATGATTCACAGAACACACATCAAACCTGAACACGACACAGTGTCTGGTAAACATGTTTATTATGTCTTGAACAATATAATCAGAGTAAAGACAAAGTGACAGAGAGTCGTCAAAAATCCAACATTTTCAACATAGAAAGAGAAAATATTGCGACCTATACGTCGCCCCTGTGTCGCCTCTCATGCATCATTATTACAACACACAGCTCAGAGCGAAGCGTCTGTTTCTGAAAGATAAATCCCTGATCATCATTTCAAACATTTTCCAGAAACCTAAATGTTTCTAAACGATCAGGATTAAAACACATTCAGGCTGCTGCAGAAAAAGAGATTTTTTTCTAAAGTTTTCACTTTATTTCCTGATGCAAGCAAAGATGGCTGCTGAAAGTGATCTTCTGCTGTTGGTTACTAATGAGGGAGGACGGGTGGTGCAAAAAGAGGGAGGTATGTCAAGTCATTTATTTAAGCACTGTGGAGGGACTTAAAGGAGAAGTCTTTTGCACTTTGAGCCCCATGTCTGGCTTGTTTATGATGGAATAGAGTGGTTAAGACCAAAATAGTGACAATTGCTCATTTTCGGAGAATTTAGCTTTCCCCTGCCTGGCTCAAAGGCCCTATCACACCAAGCTGACGGTCGGCCGTCGACCAAAGTCGGGCCGTCGGTGAGCGTCTGTCGCCCTAGTTTTTGCGGTGTGTCCCGCTTCGGTGTCGGCGGCTTTTCGGCCGATTGAGCATGTTGAATCGGCGGCGGAGCTTGTCGGTGAGAGAGATCACTCTGATTGGCTGTTCAGGTTTTATTTCCTCGCCCCTGTAGCGAGTGAATCTGCCTGTAGTGAAACCGGGGCTAACCGGTGCTTCCTCCTCAGGCTCCACTTCACTCAGCTGCCCCACAGACCCGCTGCTTCTTCACACTTTAACCTGAATAACAAACCGGAGCTAGCTGGGAGCGGCTAGCGGAGCGTTAGCCACAGCATGACGGTTGTTATTCAGGTTAAAGTGGGAAGAAGCAGCGGGTTTATCGGGCAGCTGAGTGAAGTGGAGCCTGCGGAGGAAACACCGGGACCGTCTGGATGATTTCGTCGCCGCTAGTTCTTTGCGGTCAGTTTGGTGTGTCCGCACCTTAACACTGCTGCCTATGGCCATGTGTGAACGTGTCCTAAAACCACCCTAAACATTCGTTTTCAAAGCCATGAAACTCACCGAGTGGTCAGTGGTGTTCGTTGATGTTCTGACATAAAAATCGTAAAATTTTTAAATCTTTCAGTTTTTTATTTTGGCTTAGGGGAGGAGCATACAAATTGAACTGATTGTATTTTGTACTAATCGCCTTCCAGACCCAGCTGAGGCTTGTTTTCTTTGAAAATTGCTCAAACTTATCACAGCCAGACACTTTTAAAAACTGTTTAAAAGAGATCATTGCTGGACTTTCAAATTTCTGACAGTCATTGAACACCTCATTTGAGACAGACATAAAAAAAGAAAAAAAACACAACCAAATGTGACCATAAAATAGTGATATGTGATA